GGATTCTTCAATCTTCATTTTTGGAATTTCTTTAGATTTCTTCGTTTTGGCATTTGAAATTCTGATTAGGGTACTGGATATGAATATTGTACCCTTCCTTCATTCTTGACTGTGTGGGTCTGATACTCAAGCTCTCTGTTACCGCGGGGGTAACGTGTGTCAACAAATAGGTCCGTGTTCTGTGGTTTCAGAGTTGCCGATAAATATTCTTTTTAAACATTCAAAAGCAAATCATCCTAAAGCTGTTATTACCGCCCAAAAAACGTTTCAATATAAATTATTTTTATTATCTGAGGCTAGGGTATCGAATTATGGTGTTTGGGTCCCCTAGTTATGACAGCTGATTCTATGCTTCCGGTAACAATCCGGTTGCTTCGGTATTTTTCATTTCACGGAGCAATTGTATGTAAAGAGTATCATCATCTCGTACATTTTTTTTAGAACAAATATAGAATGCAAGGAAAATATAAACAAGAAAATAAAATAGAAAAGAATTTTTTTTTAAGAGAAAAAAAATTTGAAAATAAGAAAATGCATGCATGAGAATGAGTGAACCTAATATACAAGTCTACCCCTCCCCAAGCTTAAAGATAAGCATCGTCCCCGATGCTTGGAGAGGGTGGAATGTGACATCCCCAAAAATCACGGCCAGAAAAGACCGATTTTGTTTATGCTTTATAAAAATCAGAGTACTTCATTTTATAAAAATGTTGCGGAATTTGTTCCCAGAAAAACATGGTAAATACGTTATTAAAACATTTTCGATGAAACGTATTTATTTCATTTTAAAACGTTTGGGATGTCATCGTTAATACAGAAACATAAGCATAAACAGAACTTACAATTATTTACACTAGTGATCTACATCTCTTTAAATCTCTCAGTGTATTGTGACTTCATATCAACACCTGTGATAAAAATAAACTGAGTGGGTCAGGTTGGGAAACCTGGTGAGCACATAGGGTTTTCAACCCACAATAATATAATTATTTTTTTTAAACATCAAACAATCAACCCAATTACCCATTCCCGTTATCCTCACATTACGTCCCTAAAACATCTAACACAAGGGACCTAGTCAAAGGACTATCATTGGGATGGAGTATATCTGGTGCGCACACAGTTCACACAGTTCGAATAAACACACAGTTCGGTTAAACACAAAGTTCAAATAAACACCTACAGGTTGCGAGCCTATTAGTGTTCCACTGGACTGTCTAGAATAGTCCGTGGTCGTCATCTATACTCCGCTAGATGACTAGATCATCAAGAACATCTATAACGAGGCATCTCATTATTTCATTTTATCACACAGCAACTAATACATCTACCCATGTCTTACCCAACACATTCTGTAGATATAAAATACATATACAGTTTAAATCATTGAAAACATGTATAAAACGTTCATCCAGCATAGATAGCAAGTATACAGATAATATACACACACAGCACGTAATTTATATAAAATACTTCATATCTATGTGTAAGCTGAAAGTAACTATGCACTCACTTGAAAAGGTGGTGATTCCGAACTCAGACAGCGCTTCGCTTCTTAAATAGAATTTTCTTCGACGAAACCTAGTATTATTACCACTAGAGTTTAGTTTATTATTCGCCGAGACTAATTAATAGTCTAGCTATTATTATTATTATATAAGCGTAAAAAAAAATACTTATATAACCCATAATAATAGCCGAAGTATTTATTATAAGTTCATAATAACAATACTAATTTTAAATATAAGCTGTATTAAAATAAGGTAAGCATAACTTACTTACAAGGGGGTTTTAGCTAGGAGTCGGGCTCTGCAGGGGCAGAACTTCGTCGCTGAATCTTTCTAAGAAAGATTTGTGCAGCGCTTCAGCGCTCACCTTACTATACTAAACTACAGAAAGAGAAGTCGAATCACGAGGGACCGAAATGCTCGGGGGATAAGGAGAGAAAGACTCTTGAATCAAGAGAATGGTGCAAGAAATATGAGAGCCCAAGGCTCTTATTTATACTAATTGAATTTACAAAAACTACCCTCCATAATTACTTAATGACCTTATAGTTATATAAACAACTAAACACCCCTCTATAATACTATTTTAAATGGATTTAATGATATTTGTACTAAACTAATGTCGAAAGAACTCAACATTAGTCTTATAATGACCGCATTGTCGATACCTTTCTAATGATATATACATATGTATATATATGTGTACGTATACATGTTTTATACTTTATTTTAATACGTAAATATGCTATTATAATTTGTAACTCGTTCATACGAACTCCATTTTTGACGTTCTTTATATCCGCGCGTAGGTGGAGACGTACTCTACAACTTTCGTTTAGACTCCGTCGGCTAATTTTGACTTTATTTTTAAAGTTATATTTTTAACAGGCCGGGACAGGATTGGTCCGTTAAAATCTCATAACTTCTTTATCCGACGTCCATTTTCGTCTGTCTTTTTATCGTTACGCTACTAATAAAGAGATCTTCAATTCTTGTTTAGGTTGTGTCGGCTAAAAATCAATCGATCTAAAATTCGAATTTCGGGTTGTACACCGCTAATCCGAAACTTCGAAAAATCATAACTTCTTCATACGAAGTCAGATTTGGGCGTTCTTTTTATCGATGTTCTTAGTTTAACATATTCTACGACTTTCGTTTAGAGCGCTAAGGCTAAATCTCTCTCTATCATAAATTTACTATTTACGTCTTCCGGTGCTGTGCCGGTTTTGCCGTAAAACTTCGGCGGGCCATAACTTCTTCGTTATAACTCGGATTTCGGCGTTCTTTATATGTATGGAAACCTTGTGACATATTCTAAAACTTGGTTAAGACTATTCATTCTAAATAATCTTTTGTCGAAAAGTCATTTTTGACCCCTATTGCCTTTAAATTGACTAGCCCGGATCTGCGGGCGTTACATGGAACAACCTAAAACGGAGGTGGAGGAGGAGGATAGTAGCTGGGGTTTCGGGTCCAAGCCCAGAAGTCCTCCTCATGTTTGCGTTCACGCTCTTGATCCCGAGCGTACTGGGTGGTGAAGGTGGAAAAATTCTGGGCCAGGCTGGTAATATCCTGCTGGTAGGTGTCGAGGCGGGTATGGATTGATTGGAATTCGTCCATATATTGCTGATGATAAGGCGGGGTGCAGCAAAATGGGATGAGCTGCCACCACCGGTGGGAGAAGCATGGTGAGGCTCCTCCTCTTCTTCATCATCATCACCATCTTCCTCGTTTTCTTCACTTTGCTCATGTACCTCGGTGGAGTATGAGTGGGGGAAGATGTATGGAATGATTTGCCAATCGGTCATATGAATGGGATTTCGGAAATCAAGAATGCCTTTATTTTCTGGTGTGATGAGGAGCTTTCGATCATGATTTTGACCCACGGTCCAATGGTGTGTGCTATCGCCTGCCGAACGGAAGAGTCGCATGGACTCAAGGACAGTAGTGGTGAGATAAGGCTCACCCGACAGTGGCTGATGGGGACCGGGGTATGGGGCTCAGATGTGGGCGCTCTTGGCGAGCATGCTGACAATACCCCCACAAACAATCTTTCCCGATCGGGATGTGCTAAGGCGGATGAGCTTGTGGCACAGAAACCGACCATAGTGAGGAATGAGGTTATTTTCGGGATGGGTCATTGCATAAAGGATTTTAAGTTCCAGCGCGCTGATGGTGCTTCGCTCCTCTCTAGGGGCGACGAGCGAAGCAATGATTCTGTGGGCTACTTTAATCACAGGATGAATAAGTGATGAGGCTTTAGCAGCGCTAGAGACATATGGGTGTAATTGGGTGAGTCGGGTCCACCAAGTCATGTCAAAGTATCCTTGGATTGGGTCAGTGGGGCCAAATGTGTTTTCCGTTGGGGCTCCCACAATGGCATTGATTTGATCCAAGGAGATCTCATAGTCTTGTTTCATTAGACGGAAGTAGAGGATCCCATGGTCTAAATAAACTGAGGATAGAAACTCAGTTGTTGGGACTTTATAGCTCAATTCATGGACCCTCAACAAGTCGTGCCACCCTATGTTGCGAAACAGGGTTTCGACTTGATTGTAAACATACAACTCTTTTAAGGTTGGAACATGCGCGAATTTTTGGATGGCATGACCCCGTTTAAGGAATGACTCAAGTTTGCCCTGTTGAATTGGGCCAAGACATACGACACCACAATGAGACGGGTCGACTGGGGGTGTTGGGGACCTAGATGGAGGTGATGGAGATATGGATGGAGGTGATGGAGATCTGAATGGAGGTGATGGAGTCCTAGGCTTCCGACGGCGGACGAATGATTTGGTTTGTCTTGGTCTTTTGGAAGATGTAGCTTCCATAGTCAAGTTTGGGACAGATTAAAAGTCAATGGGTCAAAATGTCAAAAAGTCAATTGTTGACGGGTCCAGTCAACTTTGAACTTGGCCACCAAAATTTCACGGGAAATTTGGTTTTCAAAGATTTCCAACTAAGAATCAAGTCCAAATAGACCACAATTTCAAGTATTTGACTCAAGAACACAAAATTCAAAGGTTAGGAGTTGGAAAGAATTTACCGAATCGTGTGTTGGATTATGTTGTTCTTGATGGAAAAGATCTTCCTTAACCTCCCCAAGCTTGCCCCTTTCAAGATTGAGACACTAAAACACCAAAATCAAGTGAGAATTTTCGGATCTAGGGTTTGTCAAAACCCTAAAATCCACCATTAAAATGCAAGAAAATAGTGTTTAAGATGGAGAAGATGAAGTGTAGATGATGATGATCAAACCTTTTTGTAGATGAAAGCCAAAATCTTGAAGGGATTGAAAGGTTTTTTATGAAAATCGGACCTAGGATTTTTTGTTGGGAGAGAGGGGCTGTTAGAAAGTGAAAATGGGGATAAATGAGGTCAAATCCCGATTTTTTTCTTTAAAAAGGAGTGTAACTGCTGCACGGACACGACCCGTGTCGCCTTAGGCCAATTCGACACGCCACGTGTTGGGGTTCTTATGCTGAAATATAGATGAACACGACCCGTGTTAGGTCAAGGCCAAAACCAACACGACCCGTGTTGCTCCCTGGAAGAATTTGGGACTTTTTTTCATTAACACGAGCCGTGTCATTTGCAGGCCAAAATGGGACACGACCCATGTTAGTCTCTGTAAGAATTTGGGATTTTTTTCATGAACACGGCCAGTGTTCCATTAAGGCTAAAATGGGACACGACCCGTGTTGGTCCCTAGATGCTAATCCCCACTTTTTGAATTTGAAAATTTCCCTCTCTTGGAAATGAAATACTTTTCCGCCCCAAGGTCCGTTCTTTTGGTTTGAAAACAATGACAAAACACATTTGGAACACTAAAAAAAATAAGAATGCAAAGAACGAAATGTTTTAACGAAAAATGACGAAAATACCCCCGGGTTGCCTCCCGGTTACTTGCCCTTGTTTTAGGTCGTTGGCTCGACTTTGTCCCCCAGGTGTGATTCATTCTTGGTATGTGGGGTTCTCCAACTCGTCTACCTCTTCATTCTTCACCTCAAATCCTTCATAAAACGGCTTCAACCTGTGGCCATTAACTTTGAATGTTTTACCCGTTTGCTTGCTCGTGACTTCCACTGCACCATGGTCAAACACCCTTGTGACCACGAAAGGACCGACCCATCTTGATCTTAACTTTCCTGAAATTAGCTTGAATCTCGAGTGATAAAGCAACACCTTTTGTCCTTGTATAAAAGTCTTTCGGGAGATTGCTCTGTCATGATATGCTTTTGTTTTCTCCTTATAGATCATGTTACTTTCGTATGCATCATTCCGAATCTCCTCTAGCTCTTGGATATCCAGTTTCCTTTTATTTCCCACCTCATCTTCAGTCAAGTTGAATTTCTTTACCGCCCAAAAAGCTTTATGCTCAAGCTCAACTGGGAGATGGCATGCTTTACCAAACACAAGCCTATATGGGGACATACCAATGGGAGTTTTAAAAGCAGTACGGTATGCCCATAAGGCATCATCTAGCCTCAAGCTCCAGTCTTTGCGGTTTGGGTTGATCGTTTTCTCCAAGATACTTTTGATTTGTCTATTTGAGACTTCTGCTTGTCCATTGGTCTGGGGATGATAAGTTGTTGAGACTTTGCGTGTCACTCCATATCTCTTCAAAACAGCTTCTAACATCCGATTGCAAAAATGGGTCCCGCGGTCACTTATGAGCGCCTTTGGTGTGCCAAACCGTGAAAAAATCTGTACCTTAAGGAAATCAACCACAACTTTGGAATCATTAGTACGGGTGGCCTTAGCCTCCACCCATTTGGACACATAGTCCACTGCTAACAAAATATAAGTGTAACATCCCAAAAATACAAGCCAAAAATTTCACTTTTAAATACGTCATTAGAAAACCAACAGTGTAATAAAACATTTGTAATGTCATGTCATGTCAAAACCAAAGTAGGGATAATTAAACATGTTATCATAAAACAATATCAGAGTGTAATCCCAAAGATCTCGTGTGCGGAAAACCATAGTGTGATGCGTTGCGATCAAGCCGACTCCTTTCCTTTAAACACGAAGTACCTGAAACCAAAACTGAAAACCGTAAGCACGAAGCTTAGTGAGTTCCCCCATAATACCCCATACCATGCAAGCATAATACAAAAAACATTCAATTAGGAGATACGGGCCACGCCCACACTCGTGAAGATACAGGCCCCGCCCACACTTCGCTTTCTGGGAGATACGGGCCTCGCCCACACTCGTGAAGATACGGGCCCCGCCCACACTTCGTTATCAGGGAGATACGGGCCTCGCCCACACTCGTGAAGATACGGGCCCCGCCCACACTTCGCTATCTGGGAGATACGGGCCTAGCCCACACTCCACTCTCGGAGAGATACGGGCCTTGCCCACACTCAACCGCCAACTCATATCATACAAGTATCGCACAGACAACAAGTGTAAATAACTCTATCATACTGACATATATCATAATCAACTCAACTGAGAGATACGGGCTCGGCCCACACTCTAATACTAACGTCTCGTCTATACGGGCCAGCTTTGGTGCCTTAGACCCGTTACTACTGGAAGGAAACTCACCTCATACCGATGAAGTCCCGTAGACACAACCCCACACTGCTGAAGTCCCGCAGACTCAACCCCAGCTGCTGAAGGACAGATTCCCGAACTGTCAACACCAAAATAACACCCAATTAATAATTGGGTCCCAACACATAACCATAAATACATACTTGGATAATTACTACATTACCCTAAGATTGGCTTTATTCAAGTCCAAGGCCCAAACCATAGGCCCAAAGCGAACTAGGAATCAAAGCCCAACATATGGCCCAATTTTCCAAATTGGCCCCAGGCCTATACATGGTCTTATTCTAAGGCCCAACATCATACAATCATTAAGGCCCAGCTATGGTCCATCTATGGCCCAATTTTCCAAATTGGGCCCAACCCCTTACGTGGGACTTACCCTAGGCCCATTAAATTATTTTAGCCCATATAATTATTCTTGGATGGCCCATTAATAATCCAATTATTAAGGCCCAATAGAAAGGCCCAACAATAAACCCAAGTGAAGTTAGGGTTTCACATAAAATGCCAATTAGGGTTAAGTTTCCTACTTAACCCATTAAGGAATTATTCCTCTAACGACTCAATCCATTAAGTCCATTATTCTTTTAAATAATTCATATGGTGTGATTGGGCTTAATCACACAATTCCATTCCAATGGCCCAAATGTGGGTCTCGATAAGTCCAAGTGCATAATCCCAAATTAGAGTTTTCACATGAAATGATGGTTAAGGTTCAGTGTTTCTTTCTTAACCCATTAAGGACTTAATCCATTAAGTCCATTATTCCCTACGCTAGTTTGCCAATGATTATTAATTATTGTTTAAGATTTAATAATTAATTCTCGTGTGCGCCCCAAGCAATTTCCACAAATTAGGGTTTTATTGGCATTATGGTGTTCCAATCCAAATATTAGCCCATTTATCAATTTGTTGGCCTTTTATGACAATTAGGGCTTTATTGGGCCTAATAAGCCCACTAAAATCTTATTAAGCCCGTTAGGGTTTTATTGGGTCCATTAGAATCCCTTAAGCTTCGTTAGGCCCAATAGGGTTTTAAGGCCCATTAGGGTTTTAGTCCCTTGTCCAATCATCCAAACGAGTCCAAACACCATCAAAGCACACTACCACCCATCACGGTGGCCGGTGGCGGCAGGAGGCGGCAGCCACCACCCTAAGGTGGTGGTTTTCAAGTTCTTTTATTATTCCAAGTTGTGATTTACATTTTACAATGCTAAATATCAAAATAAACACACACTAAACCATTAAACACACACACACACAGAGCCACCTTGTGGTGGCCGGCGGCGGCAGATGGTGGCAGCCACCCCTCACGGTGGTGGCTGTGGTGGCTTTTCTCACTAATTTCGGCAACCACAACACCCAAACACACATATTGCTAATGGAAATACAGCCAAACACACCTATACACGAAGTAAAACACACACACAACCACCACCCACGGTGGCTGGTGGTAGCAACCGGCGGCACAACGAAACCCCAATGAAACAGTTGTAGCGGCGACGACGGCTTGGCAGAAGGGAAGAAGAAGCACGTCCGAGGGTGGCAGCATACCACCATGGCGTCGTCTACAGCACTCTTGGCCTCGTCAACAACACTAGCGACGACGATAGCGGTGGTTTACGACCACCACAGCAGCAACACCCACCCGATGGTGGAACATCGAGCCCTTCACGATGGTAGAAGGCAGGAGGAGAAGAATAAGAAGATACAGAGGGACGGTGGCGGTGGCACTGACATGCTTAATATCCGTCGATGATTCTCGGCCTCACCACCCGCCGGAAGGCAACAGCAAGGCGGAAATGGCAGGATCTAACGGGTGGAGGTGGCGACTGCAACCCGCTTCCCTCTGTTACCAACTGAATGGCAGCATTACGCAATGGTCTCCATCTTCAGTAGCACCGGAGAGACACAATGGAGGCTCAGTGGTTGGAGGAGCAAGAGAGAATGAGTGGCGGCCGGCGGTTGGGTGGCATAAGGGGGGGGTGTGAGTGACGGCTGCAACATAAGGGCTTAGGGTTAGGGTTTGACGGGTAAGGAGACTATATACCCGATCCCTCATCATGTCTTTGCCATAATGACAGTTCAGACCCCTCCTCCATAGAATCCCTTCAAAACAAGTCTAAGATATTCCATTTAAACCTTGCCCCCTTCAATTCCTTTACAAATTAAGTCCATCTTTCACAAAAACGACCCCCAATATCTTAAGTATAACATAATCATCCCCTCCACCTCATTTCCTTTTAAATTAAATTCAATTAATTACTACAGAGCCCCTATCTTTATAAATATTTATAAAATGAGTCCCAAACTCACGCTTTTAACCCCCGACTTCTAAAAATGATAATTAGCCCTTCGAACCATCCTTTGTTATATATATAATTATTATTTTAGGACTACTAGCTATTCATTAATTAATTTATTTATTTAATAAATAAACGGGGTTTTACAATAAGAACAACCAAAAGAGGGCGTAAATGGTCCCATAAAGTCAATGCCCCATACATCAAAAACTTCACATACTAGAATAGGGGTAAGGGGCATTTGATTTCTAGAGCTTAAGGATCCGGATTTTTGGCATTTTTCACAATGTGCACAAAGTACATAGGAATCATGGAAAATAGAAGGCCAAAAGAATCCGCTATCTAAAACTTTCCTAGCTGTCCTTTGGGGTCCAAAGTGACCACCACAAGCATAAGAATGGAAAAAATTAAGGATACATTGTACCTCTTTTTGCTCAACACGCCTGCGAATTACTTGGTCCGCACAGTACTTCCAAAGGTAAGGTTCATCCCATATGTATCATTTGGCTTCTTTTTTGATTTTGTCTCTTTGCCAACGGGATGAATCTGGGGGAAATTGACTTGTGACCAAGTAGTTGATGATATCTGCATACCATGGTGCTTCTTTGGCTGCAAATAGATGCTCATCTGGAAATGTGTCACAGATTGGTATGCCATCTTCGGGTGATATGATGCGACTTAGATGATCCGCAACCAGATTTTCCTTTCCACTATTGTCTTTGATCTCAATATCGAACTCTTGCAAAAACAGCATCCACCGTATTAACCTCGGCTTTGAGTCTTTCTTTGTAAGCAAGTGCTTTATGGCTGCATGGTCCGAATATATGATCACTTTAGTTCCAAGGAGGTATTGTCGAAACTTCTCCAAAGCAAAGACAATAGCAAGCAACTCTTTCTCTGTTGTGGTGTAGTTGCCTTGTGCCCTATCAAGGGTCTTTGATGCATAGTAGATGACATAATGTGCTCGGTCAACCTTTTGTCCCAAAACTGCCCCAACCGCGGTATTGCTAGCATCGCACATGATTTCGAATGGGAGATCCCAATTTAGCGGTTGAATAATGGGGGCGGACGTCAACAAATCTTTCAAAAGGTCAAATGCCTTTTTGCATTCATCACCAAACTCAAAATTAGCCTCCTTTTGTAGAAGTTGACACATCGGCACCGTGATCTTGGAAAAATCCTTTATAACCGCCGATAAAAACATGCATGGCCAAGAAAAGAACGTACTTCCCGAACATTTGTCGGGTATGGTAAGCTCTTAATAATATCTGTTTTGGCCTTGTCAACTTCTAAACCTTTTTGGGACACCACATGTCCAAGTATCAAGCCCTTGTCAACCATAAAATGACATTTTTCATAATTAAGGACTAAGTTCGTGTCAATGCACCCTTGTAAGATTTTGGTGAGATTTTCCAAACATTCATTAAAAGAGTTTCCATAAACAGTAAAATCGTCCATGAAAACCTCTATGATATTTTCGACATATTCTGAAAATATGCTCACCATACATCTTTGGAAGGTTGCGGGTGCATTGCACAAACCAAAGGGCATGCGTCTATACGCAAAGGTGCCGAAGGGACATGTGAATGTGGTTTTCTCTTGGTCTTCCGGGGCAACCGGAATTTGATGAAAACCAGAGAAACCATCAAGGTAACAGTAGTGGGATTTCCCGGCAAATCGTTCTAACATCTGATCAATGAATGGCAAAGGGAAGTGGTCTTTGCGGGTGGAAGCATTCAGCTTCCTATAATCGATACAAACTCTCCACCCGTTTTCCACATGGGTGGGTACCAATTCCCCTTCGGAGTTTTTGACAACGGTAACTCCAGCTTTTTTCGGGACTACTTGCACAGGACTCACCCACTTACTATCAGAAATAGGATAGATTACACCTGCATCCAAGAGCTTCATGATCTCCTTTTTGACCACCTCCATCATAGGTGGATTCAACCTCCTCTGTTCTTCACGGGTTGGCTTGAAAGTCCTCTTCCATCAGTATTTTGTGCATGCATAATGATGGGCTCAACCCTTTTATATCCGTAATAGTCCAACCAATAGCCTCCTTGTATTTCTTCAAAATTCCAACTAACTTTTTTTCTTCTTCTCGTGCCAGCTTAGTTGAAATTATCACCGGTAATGTCTCTTCCTCTCCAAGATAGGCATACTTGAGATGGTCGGGAAGAGCCTTCAACTCAAGAGTCGGCGGTTGTACTATGGATGGGAGAAGTTTCAGATTAGAACTTTTTAGCTTCATGCGGGGTGGTTCAACTCTCATGGGTTGTGCTTTCTCCAAGGAATCAATTACTTCGATCAATTCGTCTTCCAATGTGTACTTGTCAGCCAACTCTTTAATCCCTGTCTCATCAAAGTGTTTGCTCAAGATGGTGGTTAGCAAATCTTGGCTTGACATCTTAAAGCAATCATTAGTACATGAATCAATAACATCTATGAAGTTTAAAGAATGAATATCGCTAGGATAATGCATGGCTTCAAAGATATTAAAGTTAATTACCTCACCATCGAACTCCATTGACAAAGTACCATTGGCTACATTTATTTTTGTTTTTGCGGTACTCATAAAGGGTCTCCCCAAAAGGATGAAGCTTGATTGTGGGGTGTTTTCATCACCCATGTCTAAAACATAAAAGTCAGCGGGAAAAATGAGCTCATTAACTTGCACTAACACGTCCTCCAATACACCTTTCGAATGTACCAAAGACCGATCAGCAAGTTGAATGATAACTTCGGTTTTTGATAAAGGTCTAATTCCCATTGTCTTATAACTTGAATAGGGTAAAACATTAATTAATGCTCCAAGATCAAGCATGGCACATGGTACAAAAAGGTTACCCATTTTGCAAGGAACCGTGAAAACACCCGGATCCTTGCATTTTTTCGGTAGCCGCTTTTGTAACACGGCTGAGACATTTTCACCAACCTTCATGGTTTGATTTCCTTTAAGCTTTTTCTTAGATGTGCAAAGTTCCTTAAGGAACTTAGCATATTTAGGAATCTGTGTAATGACATCTAAAAGAGGGATATTGATTTCAACCTTTCGAAACATGTCCATGATTTTGTCATCTTCCCTTTCTCTTTTGGTGCTTGCCAGCCTTGAAGGAAATGGAGCTGGTGTGACTTTCACTTTAGATTCTATTAGCTTCTTGGACTTTGGAGTACTCTTCTTTTCCTCTTCTTTGACAGCTTCTTCCACCTCAATCTCTTTCTCTTCTTTTTCTTCTTCATCATCTGGCATCCTTGGATTTTCATAGCTTTTCCCACCTCTTAATGTAATTGCACACACATTGTGTTTTGGGTTCTTCTCCTTTTTGAGAGGGTAGCTTGCCTTGCGACTCCATCTTACTCACGGACTAAGCAAGTTGTGATACTTGTTGCTCCAGGCTTTTTATGCTCGCCTTGGTTTCTTGTTGAAAGCTTTGAGTACTTGTGGCAAGGCTTTTTACTATGTCTTCTAAGGACATACTTGAAGAACTTGTTTGTGGAGGGGGTTTTTGTGGATGCCTTGGTTGGAAATTTTGAGGTTGGAATGGTGGTCGTGGTTGATTTTGAGGAAATGGTGGTCTTGGTTGATATTGATGTGGTTGATTGTGCTGATAATTCCCTTGTTGATTGCCTCCCCACCCTTGATTATTGTTCCATCGTTGATCACCTCTTGGTTGCTCATAACCTCTTTGATTTGCCCCCGAATAGCCTCCCATGACTTTCGCTTCTTCATAATCTTCCTCTTGAAGTTGTGGGCACATATCGGTTGGATGCCCCACTTGGGTGCAAATACCGCACGGGCGGGGTGTGGGCTGCACACCTTTGTCTTTAGCCAACATCATGACTACTTTCGTGAGCTCGGACAATTGAGCTTCAATCTGAGGAGTTTGTACTTCTTTTACACCCCGGGGTGCATCCGTGTACCATTCTTCGTCATGGCTTGAATGTTTGGAATCTTCAGCCATGTTCTTGATTAGATTTCGGATCTCAGTTGGGGTTTTATCGGACAAAGATCCACCACTAGAGGCATTAAGAAGCCTTCTTTCCATTGGAGTCATTCCTTCAATGAAATATTGGAGGAGCTGGTACCTAGTGATCTCGTGCTTTGGACAACGAGCACAAAGTTTCTTGAATCTTTCCCAATATGTGTGGAAAGATTCTCTTTTGTGTTGCTTAATTCCGATAATTTCCCGTCGTAGGGCTGAAGCTTTCATTTTGGGAAAATATTTGTCCAAAAACAATCTCGCAAGATCTACCCAAGTAGTTACCATCCCCGGTGGAAGGTCATAAAGCCAATCTTTGGTCGCGTCTTGCACCGCAAAGGGGAATGCCCTAAGCTTGATTTGGTCCTCCGTGACATTGTGTGGTTTCATACCCACACATACTACATGGAACTCGGTGAGGAACTTGTGAGGATCTTCGTTCTCCAATCCTCTAAAAGTTGGGAGTAAGTGGA